AATTTCGTGCACAGAAATTAAGTCTTTTCTAAATAAAAGTTGCGCCTCTTTATGTGTTACTAAAAGAGTGATATTACCGCGTGGGGTAAAGTTCAGTACATAAACGGTGTAGGTGAGATTGAAACGGTCGAGTGATAACTTTAAGTCATTACTTGAAACCTTGAGTTTCAATTATTCTTTCCTTTTGTTGTTTGTGTACAACGACTAAGATTGACCTTTACCACAAATTTAATGAAATTAACACTAGGGTTTTGTTATACTAAGTTATTTTCCTGAAATATGATTGCGGCATGTAACTGAAGCGCAAAATCTAAGAGAAAGCTCTTGGTCGCAAGTGAAGGCTAGCTGTGTTAGGTTTTTTTAAAAAAAACTTTGGAAACTACTCGAATCATTAAAAATATAGCTTGAGTATTTACAGAAAAAAAGCAAACACAAAGAAACCGCATCTAACCCCATATCTATGGTATTATACTTTCGGCTGTTCATGCTAAACCAAAAAACTCAAACAGTACTTTCACGTCAAGCGAAAAAAAAAGTAAATCAAGGTCTATGTTTGTAAATAATAGTATCTAAACTCTCTTTTAGCATCCAAACGTGTGAACCCTTGAAGGAAGGCTACAAACCATTGCTTTTCTGTGATTTACTTTGATTGTGTCTTAAGTTTTTTGCCAGTTGAACCAACCAAGAAATGGGTAAAAGTTAGTTTTATCCTTAGTTTTGAATAGGGTGTTGCCAATAAGTTTAAGTGGAGGTTTCCTCTGTTTAGAGCGGTGTCTTTCCACAATTAATATTATCATCCACAGTAATTATTACTTGTTTGTGTAATATTAACAGAAACTTAGAAAGAAGACTTTTAACTTTGCCAAATTTTCTGGAAGCCATTTGATTTTCCAGATATGATTTCTAATTACGTAAAATTAATGTAAATGACTATACAAACACTTTTAAGCTGAAAATGTTCCTTTTCAGTTATACAGAAGAATTGTGAGTTAATTTTTTTTGGCTTCCAGCTTCAATGTGTACTGTACTATTTTAGAGTGACGATCATTTTCTAGAGAGATAATGAGCTAAAAGTAAGATAGGGCCTTCCCTTGTCATAGCTTCTGAATTTTGAAACTTTAAAATTGTGTGCCTTTTAGAAAGACTAAATGCCATTTGAGTTGTGTAAAAATATAAATTATGAGTTTATTTTGGCTTCCAGTTTCTTACATAAAAATGCGAAAATAAAAGAACAAAAGAGCACTTCAACATAAAAGAATTCCTATTGGTTATGTAATACAATAATGTGAGGAATGCAAATGATTTATCATAATTATGTTAATAAGTAATTTAGTATTAAAGCCAGGTTACTGTGCTTGATTGACGTTAAACGGATGTTTATAATGATACACACCAGGACCTCCTGAATAATCTGATCTCGAACACTTTCCAAAAGGAATCTCATTGATGTCTTGATTTCAAGTAATCCAATAGAGGTGTAAACATACATTATTTTGAAATCCTGTGTTATTCTTCACTGAAATACACTTTTGATGTCATCTTTGTTATCCATGTGATTTTCTGGTTTCATTATAGCACTCTTGAAGGGTAGCTTCGTTAGCTTGTTATGTTACATTGGACAATGGATTTTTGCACCTTAACCGTCTGTATAAAGTTAAGAAAACAGTGACCTTTGTTTTTTCCTCATGGTGTGATTTATGGGATGATATGATTTAGAGGAGTGACGAAAGCAGGGCAGCCACTGCGTCTCTGCACATGCATGTGCTTGACAGGTGTGTACATGTGCTTGACACGTGTGGGCAAAAGCCTCTGCATGATTTCAAACCTGCCTAGCTTGTTGTTGAAATTATATACCAACCCTGTTCCTTTCCTCTTCTTTCAAATTACCCTAAATAAGCAGCATAAGTTTTGATGCAGTCTACAACGTATGAATTCACATGGTTTAATTCACATATCAAAATGAGAAAGTTTATGATCCCTTTGCTGATCAGTGCTGTTCCTAATTTATTTTTGTACACTGCATGCCTTGACCAGTCTACTAATGAAGATCATTATCTGGAGATTAGAATTTTTTAAATAAGTGATTAAAGACATGTACTTTTATATTTGTAACTTTTGGTTCTTGTGATAAAATTCTAAAGTGTGACCTTTCAAATAATACTTCATTAGCAGTGCTTTCTTGTAATACTATTTTTTCTTAATAATTTGAGCAAAATTTACTACTTCAAATTGTTTGTACTAAAAAGATCAAGAGATTAATTTCTGACATTTGCGTGTGTGGCGTACATCAATCAGTTGTTTCTCTACATTAATCTTATCAACTGATAATACTAACAATCCTTTAGCAAATTTCATCACAGTTTCTAACTCAAAATTGGACAAAATAATGACGTGTTTGTGGGTAGGATAAGCTCTAAATTACAGTCATATGTCACCCTTGTGCGTAAACTTTAAGGCTAACAAAAAGGTACAACTAACAAAACAACTTTGCTAATTGTAGTCATGAAAATGTTAATGCTAAGGTCAGAGGGGCCACACAGGATGTGTGATGTAGTCCTAAAAGATATCCGTCCAAACCCACTCATTGTGGAATGTCAGGAATTCCAAAGGAAACAAAGGTCAACGGCCAAAACTTTTAAAGGAAATGTACACAAACCTAAATTGGAATTTCCTGTCGATGGGTTGATGGAAATGAAAACACAACAGTATTAATTATTGAACCCTTTTATAATTAGGGGGGAAGATGTATGGATATTTTCTAAAGCAACACAATATCAGAAAAGTAATCATCATTAAGATTTTTAGCAGAAGAAAGACATTCACAGTTACATATGCAATTATTAAGCCTGACAAACATTTCCGGGAGACACTCTGATTCGACCCTTGTTTGGGTTAAACGGGTATGTGTACATTATTCAATACAAAACAATACCGCGACTTTTATTTCAGCACGATGGTGATTAAAGCATTGCCGCTTATGGTTCATGCATTTAACGCCTGTTTCAAATGTCGTACCACTGCCATGCTGAGCTGGCTCGACTGTAGCTCGACTGCAGCACAACACTAGCACGACTTGATTTCAGACATCGAATTTAAGTCAGTCGAATAGAATCGCTGTTGCCGAAAACAAAACACAAAAATAAAGAAACGGTTTAGCAAACTTTTAAATGTATTCTAATGTATTTATAATTTATGAATTGAGTTCGGCACGGCAGTAGCACGACGTCTGAAACCAAGTCGAGCTACTACCGTGCTAAAGTTAATGAATTTAATTTGATCAATTTGGTTCGGCACGCAGTAGCATGACGTTTGAAACGGGCCTAAGCTACCGGGTAACTAAAACTTTATTATCGTTATTATTGTCAGGCATTGTTTGTGGAGATAGCCCGAAAATCTAATTTCTGTAGGTTGTCAGATTTTGAGGCCATTCTATTGTAATTTTTAACGTTGGATGACTTTGTAAGATCAGGAGTAAGAAGGTTCCACACAATAGATGCTCTGTGCTATTGAATTTTTCATGAAATATGTGTTGAAGTGTGGGCCGGACCTTGTTCTTAGTTTGTAAGTAACGGATTGGAGAAGTCTTCTTGGTTAATATATGTCCCATGAAGGGAGGAGTGCAAGATCTTGTATGCTAATGTTGCCAACTAACTTTGAACGTAAAGTGTGAAGAATCCCATTTGGCTATCTTAAGTACTTCTACAGTTGGCATATCTAACACTTACTACTCACTTTCTTCTCACTTAGGGCAAAATGTTGGCTTATGGAAGGGGTAGATAGGTGGGCAGTTTCCCAGAAACCTAAAATGATCCCAGTTTTGGGTTCTTAAACAGTTGCTTAAAGGGTTGCCAGTGCCCCTACCGTTCATATCCAATTATATTGGTTTTACTTTGTTTGCATTGATGATCCTCTTAACCCATTTGCTCCTGGAGATTTTACCGAAAAACGCGTTTTGAAGCTAGTCGAGTGGTTTTCTGGTCACTGTCCTGCTATAAAGAGCTAAAACTTACCACAAACCGGTTTACAGGTCGTACACTTGGCGGCCTTCTGATCCAGATGCAAAATATCAGCTTACGAAGTTCGGGCATGCGCAGAAAGCAAAATTTGGACATAGTTTTTGGGTTTAAAAGTGACACGGCAGTCTTGACTTTTACTTTCTGCTTTTTCTCCTCCCTTCTTTTTTCGCTTTTCTTGCCTCATTTTTTTTTTCTCTTGCTGGGCATTTACTAGGCTTCATTTTGGTGGGAAGAGTTTTTAGGAAAGCTTTTAGGATCTTAGGATTAGGTGAAAGGAAAGGTAGGTGGGTAATTGAACAAGATTTTCATGGAGATTTTCAGGTCCTTGTCACGTGGTTTTTTGCTTCTTTCTCCGGTGTCCTTGACTGAATTGTGCTCATTCTGGTATGGTTTGAAAGATCTCTTCACCCTTTAATGATCACAGATTTACTGGTTACCCTTTTAAGCCCTTTTTTTAACACATCATTTTAAAAAAATGGGTTAGGAGGGATTATCAACAAAAGGGCGTATATCCCGGGGGGCTTATAATTTGAAACAAGACATAGAACTGCTGATTGAAATGTACATGGTTATGAAGCCTGTCAGACCCCTTTGTTTTATGTTTTTGTGGTCCTGATGGTGCACATGCAGCCTTCAATAGCATTCCTGTCATTTTGATCTTATGGACCAATAAAAACGTCGCATTATATGGTCACAATTTGTTGAAGGAAAACAAAGGATGTACACTCTCAGGAATCAAGCTGATCCAACGTAAACTGCAATCACTTTGAGTCGTTTTCACTCCCTCAGTAACGTCTGAATCAATCGGCTATTAATGTTTATGGTAATTTTCTCGCAAAACCTCTCAAAACTTGATATGCTAACTTTGGCCCTTGCTTTGCCAGGAATTAATCCTCAGACTATTTATTTACTCTCTTATCATCTTCAAAATCCTACATCCTACAGTTTTACTTTCTTTTAAACATGTTTTTGCCGTTTTATTTTAAGAAGTGAAGCAAATTATCCATGGGCTGTCTGGTGAATTCAAGAGTGGTGAATTGGTAGCAGTCCTTGGGCCCTCAGGTAATTATGTTTTACTATTACTCTAAATGATCTAATTGATGCCCCCTCTCAAATATGTGACTTGTCTGGGGCGGAACCAGGGGTGGTTCAGGTGGTTCATTTAAAACCCCCTAAACTGAAATTAATACATTTAAAAAACAAGAGGTTTCTGACCGAAAACCTACTGATATTTTGCCAACAAACACTGTATTATATCTTTTGAAAAAAAAAAAAACACTGTGATGAAAAGGAGAAAAAAATAACATTGATTGAGGAGAGTCTTTCCTGCTTTTAGACATTTCAGATTTATTTTTGATATCGGTCTTGATTTATGTAGGAGTAATTCATGTTTAAAATAGCTAAAAAAAAAATAGGTTGTTTCAAAGGCATTGTATCCTTAAAACACTGGAAATCATCTTTCCGAGGACCTAAATTTCAAAATTTTCCTGGGGAGCATGCCCACAGACCCCCACTTGGATGGTCTACCTCAGGAAGACATTTGTCCAAACCCCCTTGACTAAATCTTGGATCCGCCCTAACTTGTCTTACTAACAATGATTGTTGGTAACAATACTTGTCCCCTCTACAATGTTAAGTTTTTAATTAGATGCCCCTCTCTAATAAATACCTACTTTCTATTGGATGCCTCCAATGAAAGTTACTCCAAAATTCTAGTAACTAACAAAAAGAAGCAAAATCATTCATTTTTTTCAGTTTCTTGCTTGTCTAATACAGGTTTGCACATTGCATCTTGTTCAATATCAAGTATAAACATCTCTTTCTCTTAAATGCCTCCTATCTTTTAAATGCCCCCTCTTGTACCCCTAAAATGAAATAAATGCCTGCATGGTCATGTATTTGATCAATTTACAATTTTTGAAGTTTCAGCCATCCTTTATTTGAATGCTGCAGTATAATGTTTTTGTTTTTTATTTGACTTGAAGATTGTTTTTGTCTCTGAAAAACCCTACATTATGGTTATAATTGTCCAGTATTAATAATGACCTTGGTAACATTACAATATGCCGCAATAATGTTGTTGTCTATTTGTTTCCTAGGAGCTGGAAAATCAACATTGATTAATATACTTGCTGGATACAAGTGAGCTCCTTACCTTCTACTTTTGTCAATATATATTATTAAGACAGCAATGTTTTCTGTTTTCTGTTGTGGAAGTTTCGTAAGGGCTGACATTAAGAGGCAGGGGTCATGATTTTTCCCTAGGCCTGGTTACTTTCATGCAAAAATAGAAGGAAAAAAAAGAACCAAAAGCAATACCTGGCAGTTTTGATTCTCTTCATTATATACTTGTTGTACCTGGCAATTTGAAATCTTAGTGACAGCCCTGTAAGTTTTTATTTGCAGAATTGTGGTTTGAATAAAAAATTCCTTCCTATTGGAGGTATAACGATTGATATATTGATAAAAAAAAAATGTTATGAAAATGCATGTGATCCTAGAGCATCATACTTTTCCAATGAAAGTGACATATCCATCGTAGAGAGTTAAACCTTTAACCCTTTCACTGCCAGAGCGCTTGGTGGAGTTTGGTGAGATGAGGCTAACTTTTGAGTCTGTGGACAAAATCGTCTGATGTGACCATTCAAATGAAAGCTCTCTGCCTGTACTGTCACATTCTGCTATTTAATGTTTTTCAAAATGTTACAAAATGAAATTTCCAGACTTGGTCGAAATTTGCCTTTGGCTACATTTGACAGTGAAAGGGTTAAACTCTATAAAGAGTGATCAGTGTGAGAAATTTCTCCTTTTCACACCTGTGCTACTGTATTTCAAACAGAGTGGTTATAAGAATAGGCCTCTTTCAACATATTAAAATTCAGCATGATGGCATGTCCTAGGACACAAACAAAGAAAATGAACAAACATGTTTATCATTTTCTTTTTTTTGTCCCCTAATATAAGACTCGCTATCATACTGAATTTTTATTTTATATATAGAAAATGGCCTATTATAAGGACATGATCACACAAGGTGATTTTAATGTATATTATGCCATACTTAATATGGGAAATGTATTGGAGAATGAATGAGAATTTAAGTTTTGAAATTAGAGTTGAAGGGGTTAATTAGTGCAGGGGAGCTGAGTTTTATCGATTGCCAATTCAGCGATGGCATTGCAGAAGCACGTTCCCTTTACAGATATGATTATCTCAACAATTTCAACATTTTGTGTATCCAAAAAACTTATTATTGTGTTCAGTGTGAACTGTTTTATTAAACATTTTTTACCTCCTTAACCTTAATTTAGAACCAGAGATGCGAATGGTCAAGTGTTGGTCAATGGTGTGGATCGTAACTTGCGGCAATTCCGTAAAATGTCTTGTTACATCATGCAAGATGACATACTTCTGCCACATCTCACTGTCTTGGAATCCATGATGGTACATATGTAACATCTTAACTTAATGATCCTTAGCCTGCACTGCAGACAGAACTAAACTTTGGTTAAGTCTGTCTGCAAAACAGCACCAAAATCCTTGTTCTGGGCACCCATGCACCTGTATACCAGGATTTGAGTTCGACTATGATTGGCCAGCTAAATATATGCCATTGTCAATTTGCCAATCGAAGATGAAAGGAAATTCGAAACACTTTTCATTGAGTCTGTTGGGGGCCGGCCAGAAAAAGGATATTTGTGCTGTTTGTAGACGTTACTTACCAAGGTTAAATTACGTCTCCAACTTATGCGATAATTAAGATCCTATTATGTAACTGCAACAAGATCATAAAAAAGCAATGGCTTTAGTAGGTAAAACATCAACTTTGCACATGCCACACTTTTTTGTACCCTTCTTTGCCATTTAATATGATTTTTGCATGACTATCACTATGACATGCCCACTTTACGAAAGAACCCAAATTCACTTTTAGAGTGACATTTTCACTGCCATCGCGTCTGTGGAAGTTAAAGTCCCTGATATCCATATTTCACCAGCCAACGATTTACTGGTCTGAGCCAACTCCACCCCCTCCTTATGCCCCACCCCTTACCCACTTTGGAAGCTATAGTAATTTTCTGGCATGGGTGTCTTGTGAATAAACACCAGTTTTGCAAAGAAAAGTTAACATAATAGTACTTCTTGCTTTTAGAATTTACTTGACTTGAGAATGGAGGGTTTTTTAAGCAGATCTCTAGTAAACACTATTGATAGTTTCACAGTCAGAGCAGGGACACTGTCCTGTCACGAGTCTATCAGTTTAAGTATCTTGGCATTATGCTGGATCCATACCTCTCGTGGAATGACCACGTTGGGTGCAAAATATCGGCAAAGCTCGGCATGCTTCGTAAAGCGTGCAAGGTCATTCTGCGTGAGTCGTGTTTAACACTTTATAACACCATGATACTTGCAGTATTTGACTATTGTGCTGTCGTATGGGACTCCGGCAGTAAGGCTGACCGAGCGTACTTGGATAAGCTGCATGGGCGAGCCGCCAGTATTATTGAAGGCTACGCAGTCTCACAATCGCAGATATCTTGTACTTTCGGTTGGCCCACGCTCCAGTCCCGCCAGGACTATCTAAAGTGCATGCTAGTGATTAAGAGCCTTCATGGCCTGGCTCCAGCATATTTACTTAATGAATTTAGCCATATGCACGATTTCCATTCATATAACACACGCCATAAAGATTTGTTCCGTCTCGCCACTAGCTCGAACAACTAAGTACCAGGGCTCCTTTAGGTTCAGTGGAGCCAGGATCTGGAACACTCTTCCTCTGGTCCTGAGGAGCGAGCATGATTTAAATAAGTTCGGGTTTGGCCTAAAAAGGCACTTTAGAACCAAGCCAAATTGAGCCTCCAATACTTTTGCTATACTTAGTTGTTCCAATTTTTTTTTATCTGTTATTGTTTTTTGTGTTGTTTTTTTTCTTTTCATCAGGGCCCCATTCAAACCAGCCTCACTGAACTGGGCACCCCTGAATAAATATTGTTCAAAATAAATAAATAAATAAGATATGTTTGCATATTTTCATTTCATCTTCCCTTCCATTTCATAATAATACTTCTGGGGTCCCCAGAGAATAAATCCTTTAAAACTTTATTCATTCTTTACTGCTCATGTCATAAACCAACCACAATTACGTTCAGAGCTGGCAAGCAAACCTCAAGAACACAAATTAATTTACAGTTGCTGTTGCGGTTTTTAATTTTCTCCCACCAGGCGTTTTCCCTACAACACAATAATTTCCTTTTAAATATTTCTGGTGTTTATGATGAGTGTCACCATATTTTTTTGGGTACACTATTTTTTGTTTTGAAACTTATATTGACTGTACTCACCCTAGTGTTCTGTTTATAGGTGTCAGCCAATCTTCATCTAAGGGAGTCCTTATCACAAGAAGACAAAGAGGGAATTGTAAGACTAAGTTATTTTTCCCTGCTGTCTTTTGTATTTCAGTTTGCACAGGGCTTTGAAAAAAATTCATGACCTCATAAACACATAAGTATAGTTGGTGAACAAAACATAGAGGCTTAAACGTTAATTAAGTATATTTTTAATGTTAAGAGAAAAGTTTTTCGTTCAAAGATTAGCTGCTAAGAGCGACCAACATCAATTTTCTGGTAACAAAGTCACCAGTTTATAAATACTGACTTAAAACAAGCTGTACACACACTTGGCAAGATGTGTGGTTGACTGCTCTCTCGCCTAACCACTTCACATCATTTTTCACTCATTTCACCCTCAATTTAACTTCTAGATCCAGGAAATCCTCCTGAACTTGGGATTAACAGATACCGCAAACACAAGGTTGAGTGAAATCTCTGGTGGCCAGAGGAAGAGATTAGCCATAGCACTTGAACTGGTCAATAATCCACCCTTAATTTTCCTTGATGAGCCTACTAGGTAAATAAGAATGATGATATCTCACTGATGGAATTAAATCAAATGTGCTTTAAATTATACCCCATGACCCCAGTGACTGGGAAGTGAAATGATGATTTTGCATGATTTTGGCCTATTAAATCCCCAATTTGAGCTACACAGGACTATTGATGATAATCAACTACAGACACACCCCACTCAAAGATAATCCACACCCTTACTTTCAAGTGAAATTTCAGCTCATCTGTCAGTACAGCTGTACTTATGATAATATTCTCATCACAAGGTGGAACAAAACTTTCAATTGTCTTACACATTCTTCTACTGCAATGTGTTCTAGATACGTTTTATGTTTGTTATCTATTTTTATGTTTGTATTGTAAATGAAGAGCCACTTATTGGAAATGTTACCAATAAATTATTATTGCCATCATTGTCATTATTTGTATTATTTATTGAAGGGACTCACTGTTTTGGACCTGGTTTTTGTCTTTTATTTTTCATCAGTGGCCTCGATAGTTCATCAGCTTATCAATGCATCAGCCTCATGAGAACACTTGCTCACAGTGGTAGGACTGTGGTATGCACTATCCATCAACCAAGTGCAAAACTCTTTGAAATGTTTGACAAAGTAAGTAGCTCGATCTTTACTCTGCTTACCGTAAAATTAAATGTTCATGAAACTGATTCTGATATTTTATATCCAAGTGGCAGAAAAAAAATGTGGCTTAACTGCAGAATACCCAGCCACTTCAAAGCTATACCCCTAAAACAGTGGCTAGGTGGCTATGTAGCCACGCAGCTACGTGGCGGCGCGGCTGCGTGGCTATGCGGCCTGATGGCTTAAAGAAAGAGGTGTATTACTTTGTAGTCCGCTTTGTGGCTATGTAGCCACTGATTTTGGGGGTATACCTTTTATTAAAGTGGCCGGTATTCTGCTTTTAAGCCGAAAACGTAACTGCTTTCCTTATCCTGGTTCTTCATTTTGTTACAGCTGTTCGTTTTAGCGGAAGGGAACTGTTTGTATCATGGTACTGTACAAGATCTGTTGCCATATTTTTCCAGTGAGGGTTTTGTCTGTCCCAAGTACCACAATCCAGCTGACTTCAGTAAGTACAGGAGATCACCGAATAAGTTTTCAGATCGAATCAGAATTTTGGGCATGTTGCCTTTTTAGGTGGTGAAAAAACCGGAGTACCCGGATAAAAACCTTGGAGCAGAAAGGTGAAGCAACACTGTCTCGTCCCCATTCGTCTCTTAGCCCACTCTTAAAATTTTAGGGACTTTAACCTTTTAAGTCCCACGATCCACATACAAATTCTCCAGACTGAGCCGCATACATTTCTTTTAAGAGTAGTTGAGAGAATTTGGTTGAAGATCAAAATCTTCTTCCTTTGTTAATCAATTTAGTAATTCTCATAACCTTTACTCTTTACGATCTGCTGATGTTGTCAGGAGAAAATTGATGTTGGTCACGCTTGGTCACTCGTTGGATCTTAAAGTCCCTAACAACGATTGAAACGCGATCAAGGGGAACGCAAAGGGTGATAGAGAAAAAAGTTGCGATAAATAGCAAAACTTTTCAAGTCTCCGCACAACTTTTTGACTCAGGATCTGCCAGTCGTCTTTCCACTTCGTTTTCCTCCTTCCATCACCCTTCGCGCTCCGTCGGTCACGCTTCTCGCGTTCCGTTATCCGCTTGCGTTCCAAATAGCGACGAATGGGGACGAGACAGGAACCAACGACAAACTCAATGCAGTAGCGGATCCAGGGGAGGGGGCCGGGGGGCCCGGGCCGGGCCTCCCCCATATTTTTAGACCAAAATGAGGCCCGAAGGGAAGTCCCCCCACCTCCCTTATGTGATGGTCTGGATCAGGCACTGCAATGCCATATGTGGTGTGAGTGTTGTTTCCCTTCTCTGTCAGGACTAAACGTGTGGGTTTTCTCCGGGAACTCTGGTGTTTCCCTTTCCACAAAATTGGACATGTCCAATTTCTGATCGTTGGGCGTGGCTGGCGCTGGTTAGATTTTTATAGAGTGTGCAAGGGGAACACGCATCCCCTTCTGCGCGCTTGTGTCCTCGAGATTTTTCCCTTCGCCTTCGCCCTATAAACATAGCCTGTTTACAGACCCTCTATTTTCTCTTAACAGATCGTTGAGTGCGCGTATGATAATAAAAAACTGCTAAACTGTCGAATTGTCGAAATAAGAGGAGAGAAATGTCCATGAACTGGTTAAAAACATTCGGCGCTTGCTATGCGGGCTAATCGTTGGGTGTCATGTGACCTCCAAATAGGCGATGCGAGCACGTGTCGTTGACAAAAAAATTTCATTCATCTAATTACATAATTTTTTTTCCCTTTTTTTGCAGTCATTGAAGTAGCATCAGGCGAGTACGGCGATAACATGATACCGAGTCTTGTAAAGGCGTGGAAGGCTCGTGAAGAGAGCATGACCCAGAAGAGAAGTCTCACGAATAGCACGAGTTGTAGCTATGATTCCAGGAATATGGTGGTGTCCCTACTTCCCAACTGCAATGTGAAAACCAGCACTGATAGCATAATTGATGCTGCTAGTCAAACAACACAGGTGAATGGC